TTTTGGACCGAGCTTTTTTCGGCCCAAGTCGAGCCGAGCGCGGGCCCGGCCAAAAAAAATGAGGCTCGGCCCGAGCTTTTGGCTCGAGCCTTAGCGGGGCCGAGCCTAGCCGGCTCAGATTTTTTGGCAGCTAAAAATAGCTGCCTGCGCCTTCATGACCTCAACTACATTTCATTAAAATTGTGTTTTTTCAATCAAAACCAAATGCTTACTAAAAAAAAGTATCCATCCCATTTACAGACGAAAACTCCAAATTGAAATAGGGTCGAAGATTTTCAAATACATATGGCCACATAAGAATGATGCCATAAAGCAATATGCAATTATTAAACTCACTCACTCACTCGAGAAAAAGAAAATATGATGGAGCTGCACGCAGAAAATCCAACTTAAGTTTGGATTTTAGAACAATCCTTAAGTTGGTAAACAAAGCTTGTGAAATTTCTGTGCTTAAAGTTTTGGGGGAGAAGCTCTGCAGAGAACTGGATATGGTCCCAGCCAATGAGGCTAGCACCAGAAGAACTCACATGAAATAATGGAGTTTGTGTTTGGATCATTCACCATACTAAACATTATTTTCAAGAATGGAGATGGTACTCCAAACTCGATCAGTCCTTTTCCAGTTTTTAGTCTCCGTGGGTTCGAGGTCGGAGATGATAAAGAGTGCCGAACTCCACCACCAATATCCATCATTGCAACTTTTTCCTCAAAGCTCTCAAGCTTGACAAAGAATAGAACACCTTATTTGTCACCCTGCAGGCAGCAAGCTGCTTCTGCAGGTAGCAAGTTGCAGCTTGCTGCTTCAAAAAATTAATTTTTTTTNAATGGAGGCTCGCCCGGGCCACGGGTCGGCCCGGGCTCGAGCCTACTCCCCAAAGTGGGGCTCAGCCCAAGCCTGGGCTCGGTTCCACCGAGCCAGAGCCGGGCTCGGTTCGGGCTTTTTCCCAGCCGAGCCCGGACCGTCCGAACCTCCGAGTTTTTTTGCCACCGCTAGTCAAAGGTAAGGACGTTTTGTGTCAATTACCCTTTCTCCTTTTGTCTCTCCTGTACAAAGTTTTGATCATGATTGTAAAATCATATGGTAAAATGTAGCATTGTTGGGGGTTTAATAGTACAAATGTGCAATATTCTGGCTGTATACAGCTTCCCTCGCAAGTTTTATCCAATTTTTGAAATATTTAAACCTGACCTTTTATCTAACACTGTACGCTCCTAACGTCTCTCTTATCACAAGCCACCCACTAATTGCACACCGTTTGGGACCACTATTAATAGCTAGCGAGAAACCTGTCCATGTTTTGTGAAAATTAAAATTAAAATTTAGTAGATTTGTTAAGTTTTTTTGAGATTTGTAATTAAAAAATTCTGGGACCTATAAAATATGTGATTAATATTGATTATTTGACTTTGATTTAAATTAATATCAAACAGAGGCTATCGGAGTCCATGTTTTGTATAGAACAAAACTTTATTTTATGGTGTATTTGAGCCACATTATTTTGGAAGATGTATTCTAGAATAGTAGATTGACGAAAAATTTACAGTTGAAAAATAAGGAAAAATTATTGATGTGATGAAAAATATTATTTTATTGAAAAATATGTGATTGAAAATGAGTAGAAGAATGAGAATAAAAATTTTAATGTGTACCAAACATGGGCTTAATTTATAGAACTACAACTTCTTTCAACAATATATTTCATCAATTTGTATCAACCATAATGAAATCCTTGAAGTTGATAATGGAAAATATTTAATTTTAAAATTCACCCTTTTACATATACATAAATGTGTGGAAAAACATAAATACCATATATGATTCAATAAAAAAGTTAGATTAAAATTCAATTAAAATCAATAATTAATTTTAATCAAATATTATATGGGATTCCAAATTTTTTAACAACACATTTTATCAATCTTTATTAAAATATAATAAAAACATGATTTTTAGCTAAATTAAACGGAGACTAAGCCTATATTTGTTTGTTATTATTTCAAAATTAATTTTTCTCAAATTTATTTTCAATTACACATTTTCACAATATAATATCTTGTACATAAATTCAAAATTTTTTTCTATTATTAACTACATTTTCTTCAAAAATCCAATATTCAAAAACTCATTTTTCTATTTTAATGGTAGACAAACAGTATCCTTCAAGGCTGGCGGCAGCAAAACACAAGGCCTTGTTTATCTTTTTTTTTTTTTTTTAAATACATTTTTCTCTCGTCTTTTCAACCACACATTCTTCATTAAAATAATATTATACGTAAATTAAAAAAAATTTCTTCTTTTTTAACCATACATTCTCCATCAATTTACTATTCCAAAATACATTTTTCAAAAAGAATTGGGGTTCAAACACCCTTAAGAAAATGTATTTTGTAATAATAAAAAATTGGAAAATGTGTATTTAAAAAATAAAGAAATTTTTTAAGAGCTTATTTGGGAGAGATTTTTGGGGGAAGAATTGATTTTGAATAGTGATATGATGCGAAATGAGTGGTTGAAAAAGAAGAAAAAATTATTGATGTGATGGAAAATATTATTTTATTGAAGAATGTGTGATTGAAAACGAGAATTGATTTACTATAAAAAAATCTAAATCCCTCTCAAATAGGACCTAAATTTGTATATAAAATTATTTTATGAAAAAATGTGTGATAGAAAATGAATGCTAGAAAAATGAATTTTAAGAATAATGAGACTCAAACAGAGGCTAAGCCCATGTTTGGCCCAATTAAATTTTAATTCATTTTTTTATCAAACATTATTTTCGTAAAATAATATTACTGTTAAATTCAAATGTTCTCTTTATTTTTTAATCAAATACTATTCCAATTTTTTTTTTTCAAATATTGGCGTTCAAACGGGGGGAAATATCCCAATTTGGGTTCATTCTCGCGCAAGCTTTCTTCCCCACATTCAAATCCGGCGCTCGAATTTCAGATTCAAATTTCATTATTTCCCCCTATTTAATCGTCACATTATCCCCCTATTTTTTCCCAAGCCAACCATTTCCTCTTAATTTGATCCGAACCCTAGATTCCATCTCCCCAAAAATGCCTTCAATTCCCGAAGAACCCATCCTCGCCCCAAACTCAGATCGGTTCTGCATGTTCCCAATTCAATATCCCCAAATTTGGGAAATGTACAAGAAAGCAGAGGCCTCGTTTTGGACGGCGGAAGAGGTTGATTTGTCCCAGGATATACAGCACTGGGATAAATTGACCGAGGATGAGAAGCATTTCATTAAGCATGTTCTCGCCTTTTTCGCCGCCTCCGACGGCATTGTTTTGGAGAATCTCGCTGGAAGGTTCATGAAAGAGGTTCAAATCTCGGAGGCGCGTGCTTTTTATGGGTTCCAGATCGCGATTGAGAATATCCATTCCGNCCGAGATGTACAGTCTTCTTCTTGAGTCCTATATAAAGGATTCGGAGGAGAAGAATCGGCTTTTCCACGCAATCGAGACCGTCCCTTGTGTTGGGAAGAAGGCCAAGTGGGCCCTCCGCTGGATTGACGGCTCAGAATCCTTCGCTGAGCGCATACTCGCCTTTGCTTGCGTCGAAGGGATTTTCTTCTCGGGAAGCTTCTGCGCAATATTTTGGCTAAAAAAGCGTGGATTAATGCCTGGATTAACTTTTTCGAACGAGTTAATCTCGCGAGATGAGGGTTTACACTGTGATTTTGCTTGCCTGCTCTACAGCCTTCTGAGGATGAAACTTAGCGAGGATCGAGTCAAGGGAATTGTTGCTGACGCGGTGGATATCGAGAGGGAATTTGTCTGCGATGCTCTTCCTTGTGCCCTGGTCGGAATGAACGGTGATCTGATGAGTCAATACATTGAATTTGTAGCCGATAGGCTGCTGAATGCACTTGGATACAGCAAATTATACAATGTTCAAAACCCATTTGATTGGATGGAATTGATCAGTTTACAGGGGAAAACAAATTTCTTTGAGAAGAGGGTTGGTGAATACCAGAAGGCATCAGTCATGTCATGTTTGAATGGAAATGGAGATACCCATGTGTTCAAAATCGATGAAGATTTCTGATTTTAATGGGTATTTTGCTTTATTATATAGATCTACAGTACTAGTAATGGGATTATCGTTTAATTACATATATGTTAGTATGATTTGTTTTTTTATTTTTAAACAAAATTTCGTTTGTAACAGTAGTAATCTGTAGCCTTTGTTTAAATTAATTTTTAACTTTGCCTTCGAATGATGAGTGTTCAATGCTTCTGCTACTGGCTTCATTGTGGATTAATGGTCTTTATGGGGATGCAACTTGGGTAGTAAGCTCGAGATTAGAATTACTTGAGAGAACCAATAATTTTTTTAATTTTTTGAGCATTTGGAATTTGTAGATTTGCGAAAAATTAATTGAAGATTGAGATAAGTTTTATGCAAAATAGTCAGAGGCTATCCCTAAACTTGGTTTTTAGTGTAAATGGTACAATCCCAAATTGCAAGTCTCGAGACTTCATTTTTCGTCACAACTTACTGTTTGATATCCATAATTTATTTTATGGTTTGTTAAGTAATCATTTTCAATTTCACATTCACTTAATAAAATATTTTATGTGCACATCAAAAAATTTCCTTTATTTTTTAAGAGTAATGATACACTTACACACTTCGTTCACATTCACTTTCACATCTCTATCACATAGGGAGTGGGGTTTGCAATTTTAAAATTGCGGGCCCCTTTATGTGAATCAAGATGTAGAGATGACAAAAAATCAGATAAACTCGATATTTGTGGGGCCTCGACCCGAACGGGGTGGGGAAAACCCGCTTAAACGGGTAACGAGGTGAGGAATTTTGCCTAGGAGCGGGTTCAGGTAACGGGGTCCCTGTCCCGATAAATTTTTTTTTTTTTTTAGAATTCAATATTTTAAATAAAAATTTTCATTAATTTTAATAGAAAATAACAACTAAAATTATTTGTCTAAATCTAATGAATATGGGCAATAAAAATAAATTATCAAAAAAAAAAATTTAAATTGGGAATAAACGGGAAAATGACCTACTCCNATATGGGCAATAAAAATAAATTATATATAAAAAAAATTTTAAACGGGGAAAGGACCTACCCTCGTCCCGCCCCTGCCCCGCCTTGCCTTAAACGGGTGATGGGACGGGGAGGGAATTTCTTAGTGGGGAGGCCGTCCCGTCCCACTGCCATTCCTACCAAGATGTGTACATTTAACATTTTTGATTTTTTAACTACACATTTTCTTAAGAATTACTATTCAAAACTTTTTAATTTTTTAGTACTTTTACAATAATGGTTGTTAAACATGCTCTAAATGATTTTCGAATCCTAAAAATTGTAGAAAAGTAGAATATGAGTTTCTACTTGTCAATAAAATAATAAAAAATATATATATTACTTTTGAAGAGGATTTGAGTTGAATTGGACGAGCATAAAAAAGTCGTCAATAAATATATCACAATTCCTTTTATTGTTTTGAAAAACTTGTCTAACTGTGAAGTTCGGTTTTGAAAATCCTTTTGAATTTGCTTAGTTTTATTCTCTAAGGCATAAGTATTTATAGATATCTTTCAAAGTTTTGTGGGCTGTTCCATCATTCTAGGAGGGATGATAGGTGACAACCTTTTATTAGCCATCTTGTAATTGATTCTAATATAATGTCACGTTTTGTTTACTTGTCTATGTGTGTTTCAATAACAATTTCTGGCCAGTTTGGATGGGGGAATAGTTCGCATACTTTGTGCGAACCTTTTACATTTGGTTCCCCCTTTGCACCATCTATGCATCGCAAGTAAAGAGCAAAGTTCATGGATTGTATTTTTTGGTTTAACAAATAACTCTCGAAATTTGATTTTATTATTCATATTAAGCTTTTGTTTGATATTGATTTAAATCAGATTTTAATTTAAGTTAAAGTCAAACAATCAATATTAACCACATAATTTATAGATCTCACAAATTTTTAACCACACATTTAAAATTTTTTTATCAAAATTTACTAAAAATCTAATTTTAATCCCCACTAAACAAGGGCTAAATCTAAAATTTGCGTGTTGTTTTTATTATTTTGTGAACTTATCGTCACTTAAGTATGTTTATCTTAGTTGGTGGTAGCTGGCGTGGGCTACTATGAGGGGACATGCTATGATTGTTGCAGATTTATTTGCGGGTTTCTAGGTTCATACCCTATAGATATTTAATGCATATGTTGATCATGTGCTTTTTGTCAGTTTATTTTTGAATCTAGGTCGAGCGTCTGTTGATATCCAGTGACTGTGATTATAGGAAAGGCTTGAATAGTCGAGATTATTTCTGATACAATTTGACGTTTATGCCTTCTCGTCTGAACTTATAAATATGCCCATTTCTTTAGCATTTCATCGCTTTTACCTTCTTCTGATGATCCCTATTCCAGTGCTTCTTCATTCAGGGAAGTTCAACGCGCTTGAGAGTTAGATCATGTTACCATCACTCCTAGTTCCAGAGTTAACCGGGTCTTCCTTGGTCCAGTGGTAGTTCCCAACTTAGGGTCGAGTACTTGAGGGCGCAAGCCTTTGTGCGAGTCAAGTGGTAATGTTAAGGAGGTCTTTGAGGCCTCAAAAATCTAAAATCTTTACTAGTCTTATAGAAAGGGATTTGAGTGAACCATCTCAAAATGCGAACTCCCCTCTCCATGACTGTATAGCCATTCACCAATATTCGATGGATATGGGGCTTAGAGTTCCTTTTCCATTATTTCTTTTCCCATGTTCTTTTCATTTTTAATATTGCTTCGACATAGCTTACTCATAATGGGTGGGCCCATATGGTTGGGTATTTCTGTTGTGGAAACTTGCGGGTGTTGAAGGGAAACTTTCGTTAGATGTATTTCGATCTATTTATCATCTTATGAACATGGAGAATAAAACAAACCTCTTCATTATCTAAATCATGTCCAAAACTTGTGATTATCCCTAACAAAGTGCATAACTAGGAAGAGAGTTTCTTCTTTGTTCGTGACAACTGGAAATTTCAACCCAATGACCCTCATTTGTCCGTTGATATTCCTAATTGTTATAGTAAATATGGTAAGTGTTAGTTCCATACTTTCTGGTGTTTTTTTTATGTTTCTTTCTTTTGTTTTATTTATTCGTATAATGTTGCGTTTTTTCTATCGTAAGTGTACGATATCGTAACAGGTAGTAAAGTAGACCTTTGAGTCCGGATTATAGTTCTCACGAAGACTATACTTTAGTTTTAA